GGCAGGGGCATAGACAGAGGGGCAAATCCTATTCTGGCACCTCTGGCACTGACTGGGGGGCACAAGGCATTGGGGCACAGCAACTACCCCGGACAATCCATCTGCCGGGTTAGGGGATGAGGGGCTGTGTTTCCAAGGGAGGTCCATTGTGGACCTGGAGAATACCACAAGTCCAAGGGACGCTGGTTGGGACTTAGAGGGTCCTGCTAGCCAGCAGATAGGCAGGTCAACCAGGTATGGGAATGAGCACAGTCCTGGCCTGCTGAGCCTGGTGGGTGAGCAAGCAGGCCAGGCAACAGAACCAGGGTCACCTAGGTACCAGAAGCAGCAAAGAGCGGGCACACCTAACCCAGTAGGGGAGCAGGGAAGCCAAGGGTGTTCCCTGGGTCTGAGGAGGTCGCAACAGGTTAAATACCCACCCAAACACCTTAGGGAGTTTGTGACATTGCTGTCAAGTCCCGGAGAAACAAGGCAGAAATGCCATAAATGAATGGTGAAGTTATTTGGTTTTGTTTTGCAAGTCAGGTACAATTATTCCCAAAACGATAGCATGGTATCACACAAAGATGTGGTTTTAGAGTAACATCTATGTTCCACAGTCCATGCATTTGATTAACAGAATCTTATACCACGTCCCTTCATAGAGGTCGCACATGTGTGTGGAGAAAGCTTCATCTGGGGGGAAGGGGTGTTGTGTCCTGAATCTGCAAAAGCAGCCTCGGGACATTGCTATGGTCCCAGGGATGCTGCAAGCTACCCGGGACCAGACTGAGAGGTGCCAGCCTTGCACGCATGCGCGAGGCGCGAAAGCCGCCATTAACTGTAGCCTTTTTGCCCGGGGATCCGGACACTAAATAAGAGATCTGCGAGTCTCACTGTTGTTGTTGTACTGAGCAGAAGGAGAAATAAAGAACTATTACTTCTAACGTGTGATCTTCATTCGCCATCGAACGAAGGACTTAACAGAATCCATCTATTTCTTCTGATTGGTTGAATGGCCTGTAATATACACCTATGGCAATGTCACTTTTCCCCCCTTTTATATTGACCCATATACATTCTGGTGGGATTTTATCCTTGATCACGTCCATTTCTGTAGATATGTAGTGTTCTCTTACATATTGTGCAACTCCCCCTCCTCTTTTTGTAGGTCTATTTCTTTTGAACAATTTGTATCCATCCATCAGTCCATTCCAATCATGGGTTTCATCCCACCAGGTTTCTGTAATGCCAACTATGTCATATCTGCCAACATATGCTAGTTGTTGTTAAGGTGAAAGCACATAGTTTTGCTAGTGCTAGGAGTGAACCTCCAGTCAGTGAAGAATTTTCCCAAGATTTTAAGATCTTTGGACAGGAGTCTGTCAGCCACTTCAATGTGTGTGTGTCTATGTGTATGTGTGTGTTTGTACTGCTATGGCCAAATCATCCATGTATCCAAATTTGCGTCTCCTTGTTGCTGGCATATCTGACATGTTGTCAGAGCCTACTTCAAAACCTCATCCCAAGAAAGCAGGACTGTTGGAACAGTTTCACTCCAAAATGAACTTTTATTAGGAGAAGCTGATAGCAGGCGTGATAGACAGGATCTGAGGGTTTCCCGCTCAGATCAATAGGTTAAAAGAGTCCCAAGCAAAACCCCACCCCAATAGTTCATCCGGTCAATTTGAATGGGCCAATCCCCAGGTGTTAAGTTCACTGTGGGAAAGGAGCTGATAATGGGGTTCTTTCCCATGCTTGTGAAGATGTCCAGAGGCACATTCCTTTCTCACCCCAACGTAACATCAAGGGAGAGGCAGTTCAAAGAGCAAGTGGGTAGAAATAGTGGAAAGGATACATTGTAGCAGAGCAGAGAAACATACCACAGAGCCTCCCCCTCCCCCCCCCAGAGAATGGCAGAACCCTCAGAAAGAAATGAAATGAAATAGGTCCCCCCCCCAGGGAAAGTATGGGTTCTGACACATGTATAAGTTGAATAGTGTGAGTGCCATTACAGGGCTGTTCTTTAATCTTCTTACCTTACTTATGCTGTCTCCCATTATTATCTGAAAGGACTTACCATTCAGCATATTATTAGTCAATAGAGATTTTTGCAGAGGATAATATAGATGTTAAATTGAAGCAGAAAACTGACAGGAGTTGCTATTCTACTGGGTTAAATAGAATTTATGGGAATTGATACTGAAGGGCTCTGCTTGGGAAGTATGGTTGAGATGTTACCTTCTGACCAGAAAGTTCTCAGCATTGCATAGAAGCAGTATTCATAAAATACAAGAACACAATATGCACAAGTGTTGCATTTAGTGCCAGAATGAACTTTTTCTGTGTGCTTTCAATGTAGTACTGACTTCTGGCTAGGTTTTGGAAGAGGTTTACCATTGCCTTCTTCCTTTGGCTGAGAGAGTGTGACTGGCCAAGGTCACCCAGCTAATTTTGTGCCTAAACAGGACCAGAACTCTGGCCCCTTGGTTTCTAGATGGATGCCTTAATCATTATACTGAACTGGCTATCAGATTAAATACATGTAATGAGAAGGTCCAAAATTTGGATGATACCAAAGAAAAATTATCCATGTTGCAGGTTCAAAAAAACAATCCTAAATAACTAGTGTTGTTAATAGTTAAGATTCCTGGACAAAGTGCCTATATTTATTTAACACTATTTAGAATCAGTGATCAGAATTTGTGTGTGCTTTTTTATTATTAAAAGTTTTACAAATTTAATATAATATAAACCCCTCCCACCCCTTCCCCCCTCCCCCACTTCCCAGAGCTGATTACAGGGTAACAAATAAACAAACATAATCTAACTAACATTAACCAACTATACTATCAATCAAAACCATAACACACTTTAACTCCTTTTCAAAACAAGTGTTAACAAATTATAAACTAAAATAATGATATAATTAAAACTATTAATAATTATCTGAAATCTACTCATAAGCAAGATAATACTTTCCAGTTTCATATCTCTTTTGAATGTAATCAATCCATCTTCTCCAAACCGTAATATATTTTTCTTGTGAATGGTCCTTTAAATAGGCGGAGATTTTCACCATTTCTGCTAAATTAGACACTTTAAGTATCCATTCTTCCATAGTAGGCAGAGAGTTTTTCTTCCAATATTGCCCCACTAATAATCTTGCAGCTGTTATAAGATTCAACATCACATTGATTTCTTTAACATCAAAATCTACAATAATACCCAACAAAAATAACTGCAGAGTAAACTTTATCTTTCTCTTAAAAATCTTTTGAATATTCCACCAAATCTTAATCCAAAAAGCTTTTATATCTCTACAGGTCCACCAAATGTGAAAATAGGTTGCATCTAAACTTCCACATCTCCAACATTTGGGCTGTAAATTCGGATACATGCGGGACAACTTTTGGGGATCCAAATGCCATCTATAAAACATTTTATAAAAATTTTCTCTTAAATTTTGCGCTTGAGTAAATTTTACATTTCTAACCCAAATTGTCTCCCATGTATCCAATAAAATTGGCTCTTGAATATTTTGAGCCCATTTAACCATACAATCTTTAACTAACTCCGTTTCAGAATCCAATTCTATTAAAACATTATAAATTTTCTTTATATGAACTCGACTTTGATCTTTAATCTGTTTTACCAAATTCACATCCTCTAATGTGATACCAACCTTTTGATCTAAACTCCACCTCACTAACAATTGATTATAATGAAACCAAGAGTGTACAATATTTTCTTGCTTCAACTCAGTCAAAGACTTTAATTGCCAGTCTTGCCCAACCAAACTAAGTAATTCCTTATAAGAAATCTTATTCAAATTCACTCCCCTAGATATTCCCTCTATCACGTGTCCAGAAATCCCCTAAATTGGAATTTTATAATTTAACCTATAATAATACTTCTTCCAGACACGCAACAAGGCACTTCTCAAAATATGGGTTTTAAAAACCTGATCAACTTTTTTATCATAAATTAAATACGCGTGCCATCCATATAATAAATCCCATCCCTCAAGAGAAAGGATATTTTTATTTGTTAAGTTGAGACAATCGCTAATCAACGTTAAAGCCGCCGCATCATAGTACAATTTTAAATTAGGCGCCTTAAGTCCTCTTTCCCGTATGTCTTGTATAATCTTAAATTTAACTCTTGGCTTTTTCCCTGCCCAAATGAATTTATTAATCCCCTTCTGCCATTCCTCCAAATTAGCATCTTTTTTCAAAATAGGTATCATTTGAAACAAGAAAAGAAACTTTGGAAGTATGTTCATTTTAACTGCTGAAATTCTCCCCAGCAAAGATAATTGTAGTTTTTTCCAGTCCTTTAAGTCCTTTTGCACTTTTGCCCATAATGTCTCATAATTATTTTTATACAATTTAACATTAGAAGCTGTAATATATATTCCTAAATATTTAACCTTTCTCACTATTTCAAAACCTGTTAATTTAGCCAAAATATCCTTTTCCTTCATAGACATATTTTTCGATAATATTTTAGTCTTATTATTATTTACCTTAAAACCAGAAACCTTCCCATACTGAGTTAAAATTTCAACCAAATCCCTAACCGAGTCTGTCGGTTGAGATAATGTCACAACCAAATCATCAGCAAAAGCTCTCAACCTATAATCATTCTTATTTATTTTTATTCCCTTTATTCTAGGTGAGTCACGAATTTTAATAAGTAAAATCTCCATTGTTAAAACAAATAACAATGGGGATAAGGGACATCCCTGTCTTGTACCCTTTTCAATTTTAAATGCTTCTGTTAATCCCCCATTAATTATAATTTGTGCAGATTGTTTCTGATATATACTTCCAATTTGTGTGTGCTTTAATCAAACTAGAATTTAATCTTGGTTATAGTTCAAGAAAAATAATGGTTGGGTAAGGATTGATAATTTACATGCTGTTTGAGTTGTAGCTAACACGGGGCATTTAAATGCAAAATTGTACACTTGGTTAATTGGTAGTTGATGTTCTTCCCATCATTTCTTTCTCCAACAGATGTTGGGATATTGCTTGGCAGTCGAGTCTGGGAACAGCTGGGAAAGGAGGTATACCCTGCTCTTGATGCTGCCCTTACCATGGCAGGAGGTAAAAGAATCATTGCATTTATAAATATCAAATTATGGGGATACAGTTGGTTGCAAACTTTAGATACAATCATCAGACTGCTGAAATGCCTCCTACAGTATATTCCTGATTGTATACAGTGTATTCCAAATGCAATCAATCACAGATGTTTTGCAAAAGCTCTGAAGTGATGCAGAGACCCTCTGTCCTTCTCCATATGATGTTGCCAACCCCCTTTAAAGGCTAGGAGCATTGAAATAATGCCAAAATATTTAGATTGATTGGGGACTGAACATTCACAGTGCCATTAACAAGTACACACCCACAAATTGCATAGAATTTGCTAGACAAATTTCCCCCTGCCATGTATCCACCATGATTTTTTCTAGAGACAGTCCACAGCTGCATGCAAAAATTTAGGCAACTCTGGTCCAATTATATATTTCCATCAATGCCTAAATGAACAAAAAAGCTCTGCATGGGAAAGTGTCCATATTTTTTTGTCTCTCTTTGCTCATTTTGAATTGAGACAGCTGCATATAATCAGTAAACATGCATTCATATTTTCAGAAATATGTGCTTAGCTTTGCCCTATGCAGAGGTGGTATCATATTCTGTGTATCTGAATTCATCGAAAGTTAAGAGTTCAGTCAGATGTGTCTAAACTTCTGCATCCAATTGATATGGATGTGACTCTCATAGAAAAAAGTAGTAAAATGGAAGGAAGATGGCAGGGAGAACTGTGCAGGCAAGGATTAAGCATTCCACTTCTATCTGCTGGTCTTCCCACAGTTTAACCCATCACCTCACTGCTTTGCAGCTGTTGGGAGATTTAACTCCCTAGGCTTGGACTGCTTGATTGTGTGCTTTCAGCTATAGTTCCCATTAAGATGAACCATACTAAGTGCCAAACATCATAGTTGGTAGAGCATAGCTAGAAGGGCTACCCTTCTTAATGGTAGAAATTCTATGTTGGCCATCGAACCTGTTTGCATTTTTCAATCTTTATCCTGCATTCTTTCTTTTATTTTTCGGTCTTGAAGTCAAAGTGGAAAGGGCCATTAAAGGTAAAATGATCTCAAATGCATTTTGTGAAGTGCCTCCTATAGTTTCAACTCTCTGTGCAGTTTGTCTTGTCATATTTCTCTTTTTTTCAGCAATTCATTGCTTTGCTTCTTGGGTCAGATCACAACACATTGCTTGCCCGTTTGTTCTGGCTGCTTTTTGTAACTTATTTATTCCTGCAAACCTTCTTAAATCCTGCAGGGCTGCTCAGGAGCAAAATGCTATGGATTGAAGCTTATAGTGCTTGTTTGTTGTAAACAGCAACATGTTCCCAGCCCCTCCAGCTAGCAGATATGCAGAAGTGATGGAAAATGTGCATTAGTAGCAAGCACCTACCATTTGTTTCTACTGTAGAGTTTGTTGGCAAAAGGGAATGTAGGACAAATAACATTTTTAATTTGATTATTACTTATTTCATTTATTTTTGATCCAATGTAGGATGCATTGCATTTCAAATTTGAGTCTTAACAGGGTACTTTGGAATGTATGGGAACACAGACATCTGCATCTATCAAAGTGTTACCTTTTCCTGGGATTACATGGCTGTCTTCAGCATTGTCCTCTACAAAGATGCAGCTGCTGTAAAGAGTTGTAGGTAGATGCTATGTTTGCAATCCGATACACTCCAAATAATTCTTTTGGAATAAAATCTGAAGCATTGCTCTGTTTTAGTTGATGTATCACTTCAAACCTTATAGTAGTTAATACTAAAGGTAGACAAAATAGTTTGAAATAGAAATGTTCCAACCACAAAGGGAGCTGTTCCAATTGCAGCATAGCTGTTACAAGTGTTCCACTCTCAGATCAAGGAGATCTGACATATCAGAAATTGTCTGATCTCAGAATGGACAACCCAGTTGCAAAGTGGCAGTCCATTTCAAGACTTGCCATTTCCAGGATGGTGGGCTCAAATAAAGCAGGGACCCTTTATTAATATGAACTTTGTTCAGTTAATATATCCATATATCCAGAGAAATCAGAGGAAAGTATCTATGTGTCCTTGCAACAAAAGATATTCTAAAATGCTTTAGCCAGACAAACTAAACTTTGATGGTATCAAACCTCTTCAAGTACTAGTTTATGGTTAATTCTTACCCTTTCAGAGACGATGTTTAACTTTGAACAAGAAAAATGCACAGTTTAGACATTTTGAATAAAACAATCAAACGTATGTTTGTGTCACTTAGTAAAACTAAACCACAGCATGCAGACTGTAATGAAACTGATCTTTTCACCAATGTAGCTATTAGAGAGACTAAAGAGGCACTGGAGAATGTGAGTGGGTGTCTGGAAATGTTACAGGAGGGCACTGAGAAGCTGCACACCAGCCTGATGGATGTAACGGAAGACTTGATAGATACTCTTAATGATTCAGCTTGCATGGCTACCCAGGTTGCTTCAACTTGCAACCTTATCAGAAATTCTTTGAATCAGCTGATCATTAATGCTAATTACAGCAAGGTAAGCTATACTCTCCATGTTTCTCTAAAAAGATTGGCCTCCTCTTCAGAAGAAAGATAGGGCTTGCTTGACTGAATGATGAGGAGATAAAAAACTCATACACTGGACAAAAAGTGTGGATTTTCTTGCTGTGCTAAATGTTTATGAGATATCTTAAACCAAGTGAACTGCCTTCATTCCCATACTCCTTAGCTTCCCTTCACATTACAGAAAAATATGGACTTTTAGAGCATCTTGCCATGTAGAGTTGGTCTATACTTGCAAGGAGAGGTTTACTTTCAGGAAAATATGTTTATCCCTAAAAAACATTTGAAGGTAGTCAAATAAACTCCTTTTAGGATTAACGGATAAACAGTTAGAAAAAAGCCATGGAAGATTATTTCAATATATAATTTCTGCAGGAAGTTTATTATATGCAGAGAAATTGAGAGATTCAATACTACCCATTATGGAAGAATGGTTGGTAAAGTTGACAGATTTTGCTCAGATGGATAAATTGACTTCTTCAAATAGAAAAAATATATTATTTACATTTATTGGTGGTAAGGAGTCTCTTACAGAGTTGTATAAAAATGAAAAAAATGAACTTGCGATGAATGTTTTTCATTAGATAGGATAGATTATAGAAATAAGAGTACTTTAGAGGTTAAACATATTTTTTCTTTGAAATCTTTTTTTCTTTATCATTAACATGCCATTAGCATGCTAACTTGCAAAATTTCTGTATTTGTTAAATCTTACAGTAAAATTGTTCACTCAGCAGTCTACTTGACAATGTAAATATGGAACAGCACATAGTCTCTATTGAATTGTATGTGTATTTTTAAGAGAAATGAACAAATATATGTTCCAAAGTTAGTACAGTTGGACTAATTTCTCAGCAACATTGTTTCTGTAACAACAGCTTAAGTCAGAAATCTGTTTGTAACCACTGTGCAAATATTTAAGTGTATTTTGTATGTTTAGTGCATTCATAAAGAAGACAGATAAAATATTAAATAGATAGAGTTAGGAAAACTGGAATCCTTAGTGTTCTATGGGCTTGGTGGCTTCTTGCAGATGTTTCATTACCAAACTAGGTAACATCATCAGTGCTAGAAGTTAGGAAACCCTACTGGTCTGTCTCTGAATTGTAAATGTTGGTGACAAATTGAATATAATCACTGTTTCTGGTGGCCTTCATCTCACTTTATGTTCTTCAAGTGAAGGAGAAAAAAATACTTACATGGATGGAGGAGAACTATATGGGTGTATTATAGTGATCTTGGAAGTTATAATGAAGTTGAATCTAAGACAGTTCTGAGATTTTGATAAAATGTAGAAGCTGCAGTAGTACATATGCTTGTATTGTATTTCCCATTCTGTTGGGGAAAGGAGATAATGGAATGGAACGGAACGGAACGGAACGGAACAGAACAGAACAGAATAGAATAGAATATACCATCTCAGACAAATAACTGTCTACTCTCTTCTTAAAAACCTCCAGTGATGTTCCACTGGTTAATTGTCCTCACTGTTAGGAACTTTCTCCTTAATTCCAGGTTGCTTCTCTCTTTGGTCAGTTTCCAACCATTGTCAACTTCACCTGCCCTCTGGTACTTTGGAGAATAGTTTGACTCCCTCTTCTTTGGGCAGCCCCTCAAATACTGGAATACTGCTATCACATCACCTGTTTCTTCTTTTCCATTTATCTAAAATAAAACTATTTTTCTTTTATCTCTCTCTTTCCAAATGATTTAACTTTAAAGTGGCAGGATCATCTTAAATGGTTCAGAATGTAATAACGGAGGCAATTATTGTTTTTATCTAATCTAATCCATTTAATCTTCCTTTGATGGGGGGAATTGGATTAAATGTAAATGTGTCTACTTCCTAACAAAGAGAATCGATAGAATAGACATATTTTCAATGAACTTTCTGGCCCACTGAAGCCAGAGGATAAACAGTACAATGCTAATAGGATGAGGGTGTCCATTATTTTCTCTTCCCACAAATTTTTTAAAGCTCCCCAAATATTTTAATTTATTTTCTTAAAAAAAAAAAAACCCTGCTGGGGGAAATGACATCCACCTGAGTTTTCAGCACAACTAGATGATTGACTACCATTCTGTTGATTGATGTAGAAAATCGGGTCTGGGTCTTGGCAAAGACCCAAACAATCTCAGAGCATCATGAGATCTGTTTGTATTACATATGCAGCTCACATGAAAATCAATTTTATTGATTAGCTATAAGGCCAGAGAAATAATCTTTAAAATTTGCTTCTCCCTCAGCAAAAGCTGTAACATAAAATAGAAAGTGCAGATGTTTCTAGTGAGATGATTGAAGAGTATCTAAATTGGCAAGAATAATGGAGGAAAGTTTAGGATGCCTTTTCTGATATTAGGATAATGCAGTAGTATAATGAGCAAAAATTTGAGTACTTCTTCTATAGATTGCAAGATTAACCTGAAATTATTTTTCCTTTCTTTTAGTTACCGGGAGTGAACCCTCAACTTGTCAAAGTCAACGAAGTTCTTAAAATAGACCTTTCCAATCTCATTCAAAAGGTGCGATTGTACCTGGTAAAGATACATATATATACATGTTGCATCCCAAAAGCTATTCTATTGCTTATCATGTTGCTTCGGATATTCATGTTGCTTTGGATATTCATAAATTATTTCAACAAGCAGATACTCCAATGTGGAAGGTGTGCACAAAGGAACCTCAGTTTCTCTGTTAATAGTTTCTAGCATTTGGAGCTGAAATACAAGGTGAAACACAATTTAATCTTCTTTAGCACAAGGCAACTTACACATATTTTTTAAAATCCTTTATGTGTAGCACATACAGATAGTCCTTGACTTACAATCATTTGTTTAGCAACCATTCAAAGTTACAATGGCACTGAATACAATAACCTGCAATCAACCCTCACACTTAATGACTGTTGTAGCATCCCCATGGTCATGTGATCAAAATTCAGGCACTTGTATTCATGATGGTTGCAGCATCCCAGGATTATGTGATCACTAATTGCAACCTTCCCAGCTGGATTCTGACCATAATGTAAATGGAGGCAGCCAGAGTTTCCTAACAACCATGTGATTCACTTACAGTAATTTACTTAACAACCATGGCCAAAAATGATGTAAAATTGGGTGTGACTCACTTAACAACGACCTTATTTAGAAATGGAAATTTTGGTTCCCCTCATAGTCATAAGTTGAGGACTGTATCTTCTGATTTGGGATGGAACATCCTGAACCAAACATCTTAATGCTTATGACTTTCATCCTGTTTCATTCTCCTGTCCGCTAACATTAGGAACTCCTAGCTTAAAACTGGAAATCTTTGTATCATATAAGTTAGGAAGTGCAAATAACTTGGGTCTATGTAGATTCTCAGTCATCCAGGTCATAGTTGTCCCAAAGATGCTTTTTCACAAGGCAACTGGACTTTCTTGTTTTTCTTTGAAGACATTTCACCTGTCATCCAAAAAGCTTCTTCAGCTCTGACTGGATGGTGGGGAATGGAAGGATTTATACTCCTTGCAAACAGCTGATCATTTGCATTCTTTTTTTTTCTTTTAGAGAGTTGTTGAGGCCACCTGGAAGTTTATCTGTGTCATCAGGGTCACCTGAGTAGTGCAAATGGGTGTGGAGCCTTCTTGGAACTGTTGAAAGGACTGTGTTGTAGACTGGAGATAGATGGTGTCGTATCCCTCCCCCTCTGTTGAGAGAGGGCAGTTTAATTTTGACATAGATGGCCTTTTTGACCTCTCTTTCAAACTTGCGGTCCTCTCTGTCCAAAATGTGGACTTTGCTGTCTTCAAAAGAGTAGTTGTTGTCTTTTAAATGCAGATGGACTGCTGAATCTTGTCCTAATGAGTTTGTTCTCCTGTGTTGTGCCATGTGTTTATGAAGTAGTTGTTTTGTTTTGCTTGGCGAAATGAAACAACCACTTCATAAATGCATGGCACAACATAGGAGAACAAATCCATCAGGACAAGATTTAACAGTCCATCTGCATTTAAAAGGCAAAGGGCATTCTTTCAAAGACAGCAAAGTCCACAATGTGGACAGAGAGGACCACTGGTTTGAAAGAGGGGTCAAAAAGCCAACTATGTCAAAATTGAACAGCCCTCTCTCAACAGAGGGGGAGGGATATGGCATCTATCTCCAGTCTACAACACAGTTCTTTCAACAGTTCCAAGAAGGCTCCATACCCATTTGCACTACTCAGGTGACCCTGATGACACAGATAAACCTTCAGGTGGCCTCAATGACTCTCTAAAAAAATGAAAATGACCAGCTGTCAGCAAAGAGTATAAATCCTTCCATTCCCCACCATCCAGTAGAGCTGAAGAAGCTTTTTGGATGAGAAGTGAAACTTCTTCAAAGAAAAACAAGAATGTCCAGTCACCTTGTGAAAAAGCATCTTTGGGACAAATAGCTTCCATGTTTTTTCTTTTGCACATCATGCAGTTGTGGACACAAGCACATACTTTTGCATCTGCTTGTGGATGATGCTTATGATATCTGAAGCCATTGATTTCTTAACTTTGAAGAGTTCCTAAACACACTTATGAATTTGCAGCTACAACACAGGTGATGTCATACATTATTAGTTTATCTTGATGGTGCAAATCACAAGGGGCCATGATTCTAAAATACCCTGAGTTAGGTTGTTGTGGGCAGGAGGTGGGGGATTACTGGGAAATCATAGAGGGTTCATTTGAACCAGTCAGCTAAAATAAGTAATAAATGAATAGATTGTGGAAACAGGACCATGGTATTTGCAAGCATCTCACAGATTCACAGAGGCTGTTCTGTATATGTTGAGGCCTCCCATGTATTAGAGGAAAAGAGTGATTTTCCCCTTCATGTCATACCTCACAATGACATAATCAATGAGATGCCAGTGCCTGGAGTGTGGATGCATCCAGGACATCTTTTTACGAGTAGGTAGGCGAAAGATGGTATTAGTAATGACCAGATCATGAGCAGCACATGTCTTCAATAGCAACAGGCCATTGCTATTACACGTGCCAATTCCATTTTTACCAATAATGCCATCCCAGGTAGAGTGATCGGACCCCACTCTTACGTTGTAATCGCCAAGTAAAATCAGCCTATCGGTGCACTTTACAGATGAAAGTAGGGCATCAAGATCTTCATAAAACTTGTCCTTTACTTCATCTGGATTTTTCATTATGGGTGCGTAAGCACTGATCAGTGTGGCTTGTTTTCCACTTAGTAATGGGAGATGCAGTGTCATGAGTCGATCATTCACATCCTTAGAAAGACTGGCAAGTTGGCGAACAAGGTGGTTCTTAACCACTAAGCCAACTCCAGACTCACGACGTTGGTCACTGCTACGTCCACACCAAAAGAATGTGTAGCCGCCTCCTGTTTCTGTGACCTGACCTTCATTAGCTAGACGAGTTTCACACAGGGCCGCAATGTCAATGTTAAATCTGGCAAGCTCTCTGGCTACCAGAGCTATTCTTCTTTCTGGGCGATCTGCTAATGGATTGTCTTGAAGCGTACGTACATTCCATGTACCAATAATAAGTGGTAACACCTTGTGTTTCGTCTTAAATTTTGTATTTCGACCGCATGAGATGGGATCCCCTCCAACTGCGGTAGGCTGGACAGGGTTTGATTATGTCATTGTGCGGAGGAAAGACATGCAAGATGTAAGAGTAACTAAGGCTATGCCAAGTACTGACTGCTGGACTGACCATAGACTCATCATTTCCAAGTTAAATATTCACATCAAGCCAAAGAATTGTCCACAGGGAAAGAGTTGTGATGAAAAGGATCAACATCAGTAGACTGGAAAACCCTGATGAAGTAGCTTCATTAGTAAAAGATCTTGACAATCAATTCCTGGAGCTGCAAATACAGGAAAATGCTGAGAAGGACTGGGAATATTTCCGGGACATCTTGCACTCTTCTGCACTTAAGGTTCTTGGACCCTCATATAGGAAGCAGCAGGACTGGTTTGATGAAAACGATGAAGAGATTAAGGCCTTGCTTGCCGAAAAACACCATCTCTACCACGCTCATCAGAACGACCCGTCGTCAACTGCAAAGAAAAATGCTTTTATAAACACTCGCAGGATTGTACAGAGCAAGCTCCACAAGATGCAGGACTCCTGGCTAAGTGCCAAAGCAGATGAAATCCAGAAGTTTGCTGATAGAAACAATGCCAAATGATTCTATGAAGCCCTTAGATCCCTGTATGGACCTCAGCCCTTAGGAAGCTCTCCTTTACTGGATTCGAATGGTGCAATTCTTATCACTGAGAAGACCCTGATTTTACAGCGTTGGGCCGAGCATTTCCACTCTGTGCTGAACTGCCCATCCACCATCAATAATGAGGCGATTGACAGGATACCCCAAGTAGATATCAACTATAGCCTGGATGCCCTACCATCAGAGGCTAAAACCTCACAGGCCATCAGTCAATGTTCCAGTGGTAAGAAACCAGGATCTGACACAATCCCAGCGGAAGTCTATAAGGCTGGCAGTGCTGTGCTTGTTGAAAAACTTACCCAGTTGTTTCGAACTTTCTGGAAACAAGGTGTCAGAATCCAATTATATTTCATCTTTAATTATCAAATATAGAAACTCCCAATTCTGCCTTCTCTGGATTCTGCCATAAGAGGGAGAGAAGGGGGAGAACAAAGGGGCTTTATGGCCCTCACTTCCTTCAGTAGACTGCTAAGGAGCTGAATGTGTTTATTGCAACATCAAAGAGAGACTTTGAATGTAAATAGCATCAAAGAACCTTACCATGACAAAAGAGAGCTATTTACCTTTCATGAAGTTATCTGAAGTCTCCATACAGACGAAAGAAAGGAGCAAGGGGGTGGAATTGTGATGCCTGAAACTATCACTGGAAGGGGGGGTGATTGGGTGGGACTGCTGGGGAACCCCTTAAAACCTTGAATGGGAGAGCTTGGACCCCAAGTCCTGTCTAGCATGCCTGCAGCCACTTCTTCTTAATAAAGGATTCCTGTTGGAAGAATTATTCCAAAAGTTCTGTCTTCTTAAGATGCAAAGTGGGGTGGGTCCTTACACAAGGTTCCATTGCTCAGGAACTGAAAGATGCGTCCATCGTGCACCTCTACAAGAGGAAAGGAAATCGACAAGTCTGTGATAATTATAGAGGAATATCACTTCTCTCTGTTGCAGGCAAGATCTTTGCACGAGTGTTGCTAAATCGCCTGATTGACCATCTGGAACAGGGTATACTACCTGAGACACAGTGTGGTTTCCGCAAAGAACGTGGCACAGTGGACATGATATTTGCAGCTCGACAGCTCCAAGAGAAATGTCAGGAGTAGAATCATGAACTATACACCACCTTCGTGGATCTCACCAAGGCTTTTGACACAGTTAGTCGTGAAGGATTATGGCACATTATGTCGAAGTTTGGGTGCCCTGACAGGTTTATTCTGATGGTACGACAGTTCCATGATGGCATGGCGGCTCGTGTTCTGAGTAACGGTGGAGCTTCAGAGGCCTCCCCTGTTATTAATGGCATTAAGCAAGACTGTGTGCTGGCACCAACCCTCTTCAGCATGATGTTCTCAGCCATGCTGTCAGACACCTTTCAGAACAGCTCAGTGGGAGTAATTCTGAGGTACAGAACCGATGGAAAACTGTTCAACCTGCGAAGACTTCAGGCTGTCACCAAGGTAAAGGAGACTGTGCTACTTTGCTGATGACTGTGCCCTTAATGCAGGATCGGAGCAGGAAATGCAAGCCAGCATGGACAAATTTGCAGCCGCTTGTGACAACTTTGGCCTCTTCATCAACACGAAGAAAACTGAAGTGATGTACCAGCCAGTTCCAATAGCCCAATATCAAGAGCCTACCATCACAGTAAAGGAACAAAAGCTGCAAGCAGTGGACCAATTTATGTATCTTGGTAGTACCCTCTCCCGTGCAGTGACAATTGACATTGAGGTCAACTGTAGAATTGCCAAGGCAAGTTCTGCATTTGGCAGATTGCGGACTAACGTGTGGGACCGCCGTGGAATAAGTCTTGCTACCAAGCTTAAAGTTTACCAGGCAGCAGTGCTAACTACCCTGTTGTATGCTAGTGAGACCTGGACAGTGTACAGGAGGCACGTTAGGCAACTGAACTACTCCCACATGACTTGGCTTCGTAGAATTCTGAGGATCCGGTGGCAGGATAAGATACCAGACACAGATGTCCTCTCCAGAGCAGGCCTATCATCAGTTTACACCCTGTTGATGAAAGCCAGATGCGCTGGGCAGGCCATGTTGTAAGGATGCCAATTCATCGCATCCCTAAATAGCTCTTCTGTGATGAACTGTCTCAAGGAAAGTTATCGCACGGGGACAAAAGAAGCGATAACAAAGACACGTTGAAAGCCTCTCTTAAGTCCCTAGATATTAACACCATCTCTTGGGAACTTCTGGCGCATGATCGACCGACATGGCGCACCTTGGTGTACCAGGGTTGCCAGACATATGAACACAGAAGGACAATCTTGGCACAAGAGAAGCAAGCACTCCGCAAAGCCAGAGCTGTAAATGCTGAAGCAATAGTGTCTACATTTCTTTGTTCAGTATGTGACAGAACATTCCGTGCTAACATCGGTCTTATTAGCCACCTACGGACACATCGTTGATGGCCCATAACGTACAATGGACAAACAACATACCTCAAGAACATATCAGCTCAGATTGTTGAGAAAGAGAGCTGAATTTAAATTTGTCCATGGTAAAGTTTTTGCCTGATAAATTTTTTTTGAGGTGATGAGGGCTAAGAACATAGATCAGTGATGGCGAACCTTTTAGAGACTGAGTGCCCAAACTGCAATCCAAAACCCACTTATGCATTGTCGAGTGCCAGGTGGGTGTGACCCATTGGCTGGGTGTGGCCCATTGGGTGGGCATGGCCCAATGAGTGGGTGTGGCTGCAGTGGTAATGGCAGACTGGGTGGGACTAAAAAGTTCAATCAACCAATTCCAACTTTGCGAGATCTTTTTTTTTCCTGCGAGAAGTTGAAATTGACTGATTGAACCTTTTTTTTTTTTTTTTTGCACATGGCGGCAGAGGCCTAAAGTGAAAAGGTTTTATAAAACCCAGCTGAAGGCCTAGGACTGGGGCAATGGCACGTGTACCCACAGAGAGGGCTCTGAGTGCCGCCTCTGGCACCTGTGCCATAGGTTCGCCACCACTGACATAAATCTACCTACTCTTCTACCAGGCCCAGCATATTGCTGATAAGTAGAACCAGCAGTGAGCTCACATAGTGGTCAGAATGTTTGAGTTTAGTGGATTCTGGAATAAGAATGCACCTTTAAATTCTGTTTGCAATTTATATTTCAGTTTCTAAAATTAAAATGGAGTGGTAATGTACATAATTGCATTAACAAGGATTAGTCTGCCTCTTCTTAAATACAGAAATAAATGCTATCTTTTGTAACTGAGGTATTGCTGGATCTGTTCATTCCAGGGTTATGCAGCATTCAATGATACTCCTGAACTGGTACAGGATCAAACAAAGAATATTTTATCAGGTAAGGAAGATAAAGGGATTAATTTGCTGACTGCAAAGGTTTAAGTGATTGGAATACACAATTTAATGGGAAAATGGGAAATTCTTATAAAAGAATGAGAAAAAAACAATTAAAATATAGGACTGTTATGTGTTATTAAATAGAAGTTAGATATACTATGAGGTCCTTGATGCTCTCTGAACTTGGTTGCATCACCAAACTAGGTAACATCTTCATCACTGACAATATTGCCTAGTTTAATAATGAAACATCTGCAGAAGAGCAACCAAGCTCAGAGAGCACCAAGGACCCCATAATTCAACCCTGATCTACAAATATTCTCTTCCATTGATAACACTAAATATATCAAAGTTTAGTGATTCTGAATTGTTCTACATTTTACAGTCATTATAGGCATCTAGGGTTGTTTCAACATAATCTTGGCTATTTAGGATTGGAATGCATTTGTTCATTATGTGAGACATAAAATCACAGCAAAACTGTGGGAAAAAGCTATCGAGGGAAGCAGTAAATAGAAAATAGGGCAGTTTGAAAGCAGAATAGTAGCAATCTAGCTATGTAAACCTGATCACTGATTCAAGAATGTGAGCTTGCTTGTACCATGGCCTGAGGATATCCTTTTGAAAAGAACAATTGTAATGTCTGCTCAGGAGTAAGGTGTTCTCATGGGCTCTAAGACGGAAGTTGCTGAAGAGGCAACCCCAGATATGAACAGTGCTTGGACCATGATGATTCACAAGATTTCTTAGATGAGTCTTCTATTTATCTCCCAGCTTGATGAGTGTGGTTTATTAATGCCAGCCTATTTACAATTATTCCCCAAAACAAAGCGAAATCAGAACATCATTCATGAACTCTAGATAATATTACTAAAGAGTGGTATTGACTTAGCATAAGTTGTTGTTGAGGTACATGAGAATCTAAAGGAGAAGAGCCAAGGAAGGAATGTGGCCTTGAGGAGCAAGGCGGATGTAGGGAAAAGTTTGAATAAAGCATATGAAGATCCTTTGGAGAAGGCACTGAGATGTCCTTCTCATCTCTCCATGCTTTGATGTAAAAGATAAAAATAATGTACAAAGCTGTGGTATAGAATCTATGTAGAAAGGTTGATCATGGATTTTCTTTATTATCAATTCCCAGGAATTTCAATCTAAGAAAAGGTTCAGTATTGCTTTGCACTTTCTATATGAATTAATTTTCTTTCCAGTAAATTTCTTTTTCATATAAACTTTTTAATTTTTATTCCCAAATTAACATTTGGAATCCTTCAAGAACCAGGTAAATTTGCTTTTAGGTTAAGATTTGGCCTGTAAACTTCTGACTGACCATTCCAAGCACAATTTTAGTAGCTTATAATTTTTTTTCATGAGCTATGTCCTTGCATGCTATAAAGAGAACCAAAGAAAGTGTTTATTAACCTCTTCTAATTTTCATTCTTGCATATGGATCCGTTCTGCCCTTATAAGCAGCTGTACCTCGTAAGTTTTCAAAGAGCATGGAAATAATGTAAATGTAAACATATGCATGCTTTGTAAAAAAAAAAAGTGAAATTATTCTCAGAATGTCTTTTTCAACCAGGGAGATGTTAAAAGGAAAGCAAAGCAACACAATTATATTTAATATGCATTAAGCAAAAGCCCCATTGCTTTTGTAGAAATTGCATACCACTTTCTGCCTAGTGAAAAAAAATGTGTTTAGAAGCATTCAGAATATTTCTTTTCATAGTAAACTTTAAAAATGCCTATGGTAGTGCTGATGTGCAAATTATTTTTAATTAAAGGCGATCAGTGTATATTTAGCTTGCCACTAAGGGGAAAATCACATATGATATCTACAACCTAATGCTACATATTGATATGTAAGTCAGGTATTGCTTGCAATGCAGATGAAGATGTTGGTCACCTATTTCTACCTAAATACATCTATTTTCATTCCTAAAACTCACAGTTCATTTCTTTCTCATAATTCCTGGTAGATTTTCTTGATGGCAAAAGATAAAAAAATTGAGGGGCATTCTTAAATTTCACAGATTTAATACATTACTTTTAGCAGATCCTAGAAACTGATGGGGTTCCAAATTTCATGTTATTTTTAATACATATTGACAGTTACGGCATTTCCTATTATAAAGTGATTTAACAGAGCTACCATATTCTTTGTAAGTCCATATCTCCATAAGCAGGCACTATTACCAACATATAAATAACATATCAGAATGTTTCTTGCACAAATGTTTATGACATTTAAAAGAAGCAAATAAAATAACTACTCTTGTCTCTAGTCCTGCTTGTGCAGTGACTCTGGATCTGAGAGGTTTTTTTTGTTTTTGATTTGTTTTGTTTTTGCTATTGGAGAAATGTATCTCAATTCAGAATTAGAATTCTTTCTATGTAAATGTAAGACTGGAGGAAAAAACAAATGAACTGATTTAGACATGCCTAGATATGTTAACTTCTTTAGAAATATTTGGATGATCAATCAAACAGGGTGATTTTGAACTACAGTTCAATTCATTGTTGTTGTTGTTAATTGCGAAGTCATGTCCGACCCATCGCGACCCCATGGACAACATTCCTCCAGGTCTTCCTGTCCTCTACCATCTTCTGGAGTCCATTCAAATTCACACCTACTGCTTCAGTGACTCCATCCAGCCATCTCATTCTCTGTCGTCCCCTTCTTCTATTGCCCTCAATCTTTCCCAGCATTAGGCCCTTCTCCAGTGAGTCCTTCCTTCTCATTAGGTGGCCAAAGTATTTGAGTTTCAACTTCAGGATCTGGCCTTCTAAAGAGCAGTCGGGGTTGATCTCTTCTAGGACTGACCGGTTTGAACGCCTTGCAGTCCAAGGGACTCGCAGGACTCTTCTCCAGCACCATAGTTCAAAGGCCTCAATTCTTTTGCGCTCAGCCTTTCTTATGGTCCAGCTTTCACAGCCATACATTGCAACTTAGTAGGGTCAAGACCATGTGCCATGGAGCAGAGCTTTTCAACCTTTTCAGAGATTGTACCACTTTTAGGATATGGCAATATTCAAGTACCACCAGTCGCCTAGCAGGTGGGCGTGGCCTGCTCAATGCTACTCACTGGACACAGCTGACTTGAGACAGCTGGGTTGGAATGGAACAAGTCGCACCAGCTAACTTGATGTGGGGACAACTCTGTGCCCCATAAACGCCTCGCCTCCCCAAACTGCTAGCAGCCAAGAAAATGTGTGCGTGCATGCACACACACCACATTCCAGATTTGGGGACTTTTATCCACAGAGGAAGGAGAGGGCCTTCTCCCCAAGCCCAGGCATGATTGGCAATTTGCTAGCTCAGATGTGGATACAAGTTTCAGATGTGGATACAAGTCTCAGATGTGGATACAAACTTGGAATGTGTGTGTGTGTGTGTGTGTGTGTGTGTGTGTAGCACACTAAAGGGATGTTCTGTTTCCCTATCCAGTGCCCCCTCCTGGCAAAGCAGGAGGTGGAGAACATTTGCAGGAAGCAGTTTCCTCCGAGTCTCATTTCTGTCTTGACAGATCTCTGGAGAGCAAGAGGAGGCAGCAGGGGAGCAGCACTCCTGGGTCCTGTACAAGGGAGGCTGGCCCTTCTCGAAGGGGAATTCCCATTTCCAATTGTGCGTGGTAAGGATGCTGGCTTGTTGGGGCAGCCTTCCCTCACACAGCTCCCCTGCCACCCCCTCCTCTTCTCCAGAGATCTGCAGGGGAGACAGAGAGCTGGAGGGCAAGGTGCAGCCTCCATATTGGCCGCTTCTACCTCTCCAAACCCTCCTCGATTAAACATACATTATATATGAATTAAAACACAGCCAAAAAGAAAACATAGTTAAATCACTAATTACAGCTCTTCCCATATTTTCTGGAAAAACCACCTTTATTGATGTTAGGAAGGAAGAACAAACCTTATTAAGGAACTCTTAATAGAAAGGGAATTGAAGGCCCCAAAAGGTCTTATTCTTTCTAATCTGCCTTCCCTTTGAGACTTTAGTTCTCATTATTATGTATTTAAGAAGATCAAAGGCCTCCATAGCTCAGGATACTCACCTTAAAATAAGAACCCAGAAAAATTTAATTAATCAACAATACCACCCTATGAATAATGAAGATAATCTTTGGGCCCTGAGAGCATGCAGGTGTCCAGTCAGAATATTAGTGACACACCTGTCAGCAACTGGAAGTGCATGTACTTCCCTTCCCTGTCTCACAACTCAATCCATACATCCTTTAATTTTCAGACACATCTTTTTCTCATAAGCTCCTTAAAAACTCACAAGGTATACTGTAATTAACAGGAAAAATAAATCTAGCACTCCTGAATTCTTTTCCCAAGAGGGAAAGGAAAGTTCACAGCCTGCAGGTTGCTACCAAAGTCATCAAAGAACATAGATATTGCTGCTAAAGACAAGAACAAATAACGAATCAATTTTGCAGCTTTCTCCTCTTACCTCCAGAACGTGGCCTGGGATTGCACAAAGAGCTGGGCTAAAATCCACTTGAGTAGTATGCAGCGAGGTGTTCAGTACAGACATTGCCAATGTGATTTTAATAGCCCAGGAAGGGATAGGAAAACTCAAGGAATGCTTTGCAATCAATAAACCATGGTGGACTCTGCTTGTTTTGCCCTATTTTGATTCTCCTCCCCAGCAGCAGCCCATCGATTTTAGAGCTGCATTGCCACAAAGATAGAGGCCTTCAGTCAGGCCATATGCCCCCAATCAAAGGAAAAACCCGAATCCAGCAGGCCAGAAGGCAGCCCAGCCACAGTGCCTGTCAGAATCCAATTATATTTCATCTTTAATTATCAAACATAGAAACTCCCAATTCTGCCTTCTCTGGATTCTGCCATAAGAGGGAGAAAAGGGGGAGAGCAAAGGGGCTTTATGGCCCTCACTTCCTTCAGCACACTTCAAAGGACTGAATGTGTGTTTATTGTGGCCTCTAAGCTTTAACATATCAAAGAAGAGTAATTGCCTTTCATGTAGTTATCTGAAGTCTCCATCCAGACGGAAGAAGAAAGGGGATGGAATTGTGATACTTGAAACTATCACTGGAAGGGGGGTTGATTGGGTGGGACTACTGGGGAACCCCTTAAAACCTTGAATGGGAGAGCTTGAACCCCAAGTCCTGTCTAGCATGCCTGCAACCATTTTCTCTTAATAAAGGATTCCTGTTGGAAGAATTATTCCAAGAGTTCTGTCTTCTTAAGATGCAAAGTGGGGTGGGTCCTCACATTAGACAGGACTTGCAAAATTAATCCACCTGGAAGGAAGACCCTTGCCGGGGGATTTTGCAAAAATTTACCATGTCAGACAATGGAGCAAAAGAGGGGGAAAACTCCCTGGAAAGAGAGCCGCTGACCCAGTTGGAACCTTGCCAGATGTTGGGATCCGAGAGGCCAGATTCCTCAGGAGAAGAAGTGGTGGAGATACAGGACCACAAGCCTCGCTGGTCGATGGGCGTTGGAAAGAAAAGTGAGTGGGGAAAGGAATCAAGAAAGGTGACCCTGAGACGGGGGACCAAGCAACCAGAATGGAAGCAGGAGATGGAGAAATCCCTGCACGCAAGTGAAGAGGGAGGAAGCTGGGCACCGTACTCAGACTGGATCCTAGAGAAAGCTATTGACCTGATGAAGAGAACTCTCAGCTCCCTAGGAGAGGAGAATACTGAACCCTACGGCTGCCCCAGTTCCTGGAGCCGCAAAGGGAGAGACACCGAGGGGAACGTGGAACCTGCAACCCCAGGGACATCTACTGATCCAGGAGCTCCCACCCCCTACCGGACCACAGATGGCAATCTGGACGGAAGGCACTACCACCCACAACAGAGGCACCGATCCATTCCAAGACGTCCACCGTTGGAAGTGAAATTCAAAGGGGAGCCAACACGCTTGGGATTTTTCCTAACCCAAGTCCTCAGCTACATGGAGGAATATGGGCAGGATATTCCCAGCGACAAAGCCCGCATCCGGATCGTGCAATCTGCCCTGGATGGACCAGCTGCGGATTGGGTAGTGAACTTGCATGACTCCAATGCCCCAGAACTCAGTAACTTCAACCGTTTCATGTCCTCTTTGAGAAGACGATTTGAAGACCCCCTGGCTGATCGCAAAGCCCGTGAAAAAATAACAACGATGAGGCAGGGCAAACGCCCAGTGGCTGAGTATACACAAGAATTCCGGGCCATTGCCAGCAAACTGAATTGGCCAGAAGACATCCTCCTTGGCCATTTCAAAGACGGACTAAACTATGATCTATATGATGCTTGCCTACCCCGAGGGGACCCACATCGACTTGAGGAATGGTACGTCTTGGCAGAGGAAGCAGAGATCGACATATTGAAGAGGCACCGCCGAGGAAAACAATGGAGCCGACCCCCGCCTGAGCTGACACACCAACCGGTGAAATCATCGGATACAGCCAAGAAGCAAATGAGATGTTTCAAGTGCGGAAGAGAAGGGCATCGAGCTGTAGAATG